GATTTTTAATCGGATTGGATCAGTTTAGATCGAATCAATCGAATTGGATCGGATATGAACACCCCTAGGTATGAGGATGAATCATTGCAACCAAAGTTTGGTTTTCATAAAATTTATTATATAATAATACATTTAATGCATTTTAATATATATTTAAAGATATAAATTAGATAAATTTTTTATAATTTAATCTAATTTATATTGTAAAACTGTTAATTGAAATTAAAATATAATATTTTTTATAATATAAAGTGAATCTTAGATCACTTTAGATTATTTTAAAAAATAAATTTAGGTAATTAGTTTTTTAATAAGATGAGATGTATGTATGAAATATATTTTTTTATTTAATATTTTTTAATTTTTTAATTTTTTAAATTTAACTAAAAATATTGTATCAACATTTGGCTTGTTTAAACTAATTGAACAAATAAAATATTTAGATTATAAATCACATTAATTATTAATAGTTAGATATTAATTATTTTTTATTTATTTTAACTAATTACTTATTAGTACGAATAGAAATGGAGAGTTTCCGCCTCCATAAGATTTAATATAAGTCAACTTTAAATTAATCGAAATTCAATATAATTTTTATATATTGAAGGGTTAATATAAAAAAATTTATTTTCTGTTTATTTTATTTGAACAATAAATTGGAACATCTCTATAAATAAATAATTACCATTTTAACCAAAAAAAAAAAGAGATTAATTTATGGTTAAAAACAACATAATAAAAAAAAATAAAACACTTTTATCTCTCTACAGTTCTGACTTCCATGACATGACTCAAATTAAAACTTTTTATCTCTAGTTGAACGAATTACTATTGACTCACAAATACTTGGCACAAACATGATTTTTTATTTTTAAGAATTACAAGTTAAGATTACAATAATTATACTTTTTTGTTATTAATTGATATTAAGAAAGTATAAAAGTTAATATCAATTTTATTATTATTACGAACATGTATTATTTTAATTAGGTAGTTAATTTAATTAACAAAGATTAATTTTTATATTTTTAATATTAATTAATATTAAAAAAAATTTATACTTTTAACATTTGTCTTTAAAGTAAAATAAAAAATCTTATGAAAAATAGCTTCTAAAATAATTATATAATTTTAGCATAAATATGATGTTTTGTAATTCAAATCACATTAAACTATAAAATAAAAATTATTAAATAAAAAAACTCCCAATATTAAAAAAATTCACTTCTCACTCAAAAGTACTTTTTATACCCTTTAAATTAGACATTAACTTTTTATTATAATAATATAATCAATTAAAATCTCTAGAGAATGAGTCAATAATTAAGAATTCAAATTTTAAATTAGGTAGAAAAAGATTTATAAAAAAAATAATGTATCTTTTAAATAATTCATTATTATGATATATACTTAAAATAAAAAATAAAATAAAATAAAATAAAGGAAGATAGAATTTGGGGAGGTGCGTAGAATCAACGCTTGTATTGCTTTATTCAATTAGACCCGGAAGGGCCCTTTTTCAAATTCTATTAAATTTCTGCCATCCACGGGGACCACGCATCTTTTCATGTCTCAATGTTATCTAGTCGCCGCGTACTGTTTTCTTTATTCCTACCTGGGCTCATTCCCTGCGGGCCCAACTTCAGTCCAACTCTTTTGGATCTTCCTCCCCCCAGCCCATTCAATACAACAGATGGCAAACATATATTGGTTGCGGTACAATAACATTCCAATCCACGATGCTACCGGCGTAGCAGATCCCAGAACGGCGATTAACGTGAAATTTTCCGAAGGATAACTCCGGACAAACGTTCGGTAATCAAGATTGGGCGTGCACCTAGTTACGATTTAGGGTTCTAATCCTCTTCTTCATCACTGCAGTTTTCGCGCGAAAAAATGGATCCTGAAGGTAGCCGTTGCAGTGACCATATTTTGAATCGATTTTCAATCTCCCCGGGAGAAAACTGGGATTGATTTGATTTATTGTTTTCTTCATTTTTCAGGTCAGAGAAGCTCTTCGACCCCTTCGGCGATGATGGCTTCTCTTCTTAGCAGGAGAGCCAAGCTTCAAGAAGAGCTTCGGAACATCGAAAGACAGGTTCTTTCCTCTAAATTTTTCGATTTTGGTTTTTGAATTTTATTTTTTAGTGATTATTTGGATGACCCATTTTGCAATGCTGGATGATTTGAACTGGGGATGGCGAATTTTTTGTGGGATTTTAATGCAGGTTTATGATATGGAGACGAGTTATTTGCATGATCCGAACCAATGCGGCAATGTATTGAAAGGTTTCGAGGGGTTCCTATCTTCATCTAAGAACACTGCACTGTATGGAGTTTCTTTGATATGCTTTTCCATTTTTATCTTTTGATAAGATTTTTTCTTTTTCATTTTTATTTGTTTGTGATTGTGAAGTTGTAGTAGTTCTGATTGCATTCAAGGCTGCAATTTTGGATCGCAATTTAGAAACTGATTGCTTTTATAAGACTCAATTCATAAGAGTATTTTATTCGAAATTGAAGTTGATATTTGTTCAATTCCAAGGTTAAGTAGTATTATTCAAGATGAATTTTTGTTGCTAGTTTTGTTTCCATTTGAAATACAAATGAATTCTAGAGGAGTAGAAATGTTCTTGATGGTGACTAGGAATATACAGTGGAAAGAGAACTTAAATTTTGCTGTTTTATATGCTTATATGAGAATAAATCAAACTTGTGGCTGCAGCTTGAAGCGGTCCAGGAAGTTCCAGCCTGAAGACAGGCTGTTCTCCTTATCTTCAGTCACCTCTCCAGCAGTATGTATTCTTGATAAAATTTAAATTGTTTGGTCATTTTCTGTAAGCTTTCCCTCCTTTGTTATGTTTGCACTTTTACCCTTGACTGTGTAAAATTTGATTTATATCTTCTAAAAGTTAAAGCACAGCAGGAGGGATATCAATGAAGTATGAGCCTTCTAAACTTGGCTTTACGTTTGGAAGAACGGGAAAAGGATAGTGAAAGATAAGAGGAACTTTCATACCTAGTTTCCTTTTTACTCTAGGAATCTTTTATAAAGCATTCCACAAGCAGGACTTAGTGGTTGCATGCCTGTAGCTTGATGGCTTGATGCTTGATGCTGATCCTTACCCCATGTTTGGATTAAGGGAAATGAGGGGAAAGGAAAGGAGATGATTTTTAACCAATTAAATGAAGGTTTGTTCTCCTTTCCTTATCCTAGTTGGTTTAAAATCATTTCCTTTCCTTTCCCCTGATTTTCTTCGATCCAAATTAGGGGTTAGAGACAGACAGATAATCATTAGTTTGAAAACATCAAAAGAATTGCTGCCCATGTTGCAGATTAATCCATCTACATATTGACATCTCAGGGCCAGAGAAGGCTACACTCCTTAGGCCATCATTGAAAGGCTCCCTTGTTCATCTGTAACATTTCAAATGTTCCTCCTATATAATGCACATTCTGGATTAAAACTCGTAATGAATTTTGGGAAGTTGGAAACGTAGTAGTTCGTTTGTATGTCTGCAACTAATAATGTTAATTAGCATTGACCTGACCAGGGAGCCAGAAAATATAGTCATATAATATAACTCCTTTTCTAATTATCATTCTAGTTTCTTCTCATGGGAAGCGTTCTCAACTAATCTTGGTCTACATTCTGCTGTTTTCCATTTCTCAGGCTGAAGAGATCGCAGCTAGCCGAGATGGTGAGAGCCCATACTATGGATGCATAGGCAATTTATCTTTCTTAACATTTATTCATTGTTTTTCCTTTGGTTGGACTAGATGGGAGGTCAGACTTTGGTCCCAGTCGATCAAAAGGTGGAGGTTTCTACGCAAATGGACAGTAAGTACATTACTGACTTGTCTTCGTTCAACATAATATGTTACAGAAATTATGCTGGTTTTGTAGTTGCCTTAACAGTAACCAAGAATATGAAAATGGTTTGGATCTCTAAAGACCAACGTTTTTAAAACCTTTATGTATTTGAACTCTTTGCAGAGGAAAACCAAAAAAGGGAAGAGCTGCCCCCAGGGATGCAAAGAGATACAGACATTCAAGTGAACCAGATTATGACTATGATGATGATCCTGACGTGACATTGTGAGATCGTTTACTATCTAATGAAATGCTACTTTGTGGGTTGCGGTAAGCTTTTTGCGTAATCTAAAGCCTGGGACAGATGGTTTTGTTTTTAAAAGTCTGTCACTGGGATAAGGTGTTTACAGAATTTCAAGTGTATAAAGCAGTATATTTTTGTCAATCATATGCGCTAATGAGTCGGATGAATTAATGAAATATAACTGTAACCATGAAAATCAGTTCAGTTATGCAAGCAGACAGCTTCAAGCAAAACGCTTCTCCTTTTTCGTTGTTTATTCCTTTGACCAAATCCCATATTTGCACATGGAGATTATTGTTTTATGCGGTTAATACCCTTCAGAATTTTAATTTTCTATCAATATATTTCAGAATTTTCACTCTTAATCAACTTTTTTTAAAATTTGAAACCTATAAAAAGTTTAAAAGTTAACAACTAAGGGTGCGTTTGAGATTGATGTGAAGTGTTGTGGTTGTACTTAGCTGTGGTTGTACTGTATTGTAGTTGTGGTTAAATGTTATTTTGGTGTTTAGTTAATTATTTTTCAAAAATATTATAGATGAAATATGATAGATTTTATTAATTATTAATTAAAATTTTAAAAATATTATAAGATATATAATTATTAAAATATATAATATTTATTATTTTTTAATAATTTAGGTTTTTAAAAATTTTTAATTATTATTAAAATATTATAAATTATAATATAATTAAAATTATATGAAATTGAGTTTTAATGGGTAATTTTATAATTATATTAAATATTATGTATTTTCTGTAAAAGTCACAGTTAGAAAGTTTTAAAATAAGGTTTTTGACTTTATACATAAAATTACTGTAGATCTGCTGTAATTTTTTATAGTTAAAAAAAATAATTTGAAAAAAAATTATCAAACACATATATATCTACAAGTGCTATGTGGTTAGACGAAAAGTCTCCAACCGTAATCTCAAACGCATTTTAAACCTCCATTTGCACCCTAAGTTAAACATGACCTAGTTGCTTATTTTGAATTTTTTATTAATTTTAACTTATAGAAGGTGTTGGGCAAGAATAAAATTTTAAAGGATATTAATTACAAAAAAACAATAATGTCTACAATACAAATAAGGCTTTGGCCTATTATTTTTCAATATCATTAAAGACTCAATTTTAAGTTTTATATAAGTGAAAATATGGTATTGAGGTTCATTGAGTCTATTAAGAATTTTTAAAATATCTATAATGCCCTTTTTATGTAATAGATAAAATATTAAATTTGCATTAAAATTATGCTTCTCTTTACTTTTTTTTTTTTTTTTTGAACATTTTGTCACGGGAGGGCTAAAAACCCGTTCAAGGGGGGAAATGCACCTCAAGCTGGCAGAAAATCAGTTGACCCGAAAGGTCAGATGCTCTCTTTACTTTTTTTTAATAATATTATAATTATAATATCATATAACATTATAAATTTATAATTATAATATAATATTAAATAAATATAAAATATTATTAAATAAATAAATATATAATATCATTAATAAATCTCTAAATATAAATAATTAATTATATAACTACATAGCATATAACAAATTTATAACATCACAAGTAAGATCTTAATTTTATCATTTTAACTACAATTTTTCCTCATTACCTTTCTCATCATCAGGGTGAGCTTATTTTCTCATAATTAAATATCGAAGTGACTTGGCAATGCGTATGTTGCCACCTCCTCCCAAGTGCTGGAAATTGCTTAGTGCGGCTGGTATTCACCAAAATGGTTATATATATTTAATTAGTGGTGGGCATTTTTATCCGAAACCGATAAAACCGCCCGAAACTGCAGCTTGCCGGTCGGGTTTTTTCATTATGTTGGGTTGGCCTGGTTTCAGTTGTAATTGAAGCCCAGTAAATCTGTTTACGGTTGCTGGGCCTAGAAAATTACACAGCTGGACAAAGCCCAGACAACCGACAAGTCCAGCCTGTTTATTTTTCGTATTTTCTTCTGAATTTTTTTACTTTTTACTTTTTGCTTTTACGTTTTTTAGGGGCTAAATTTAATTTTTCATCTACTAACTATTACTCTTTTATCATTTTAGTCTAGAAAATTTAGTTTCTTTCAAAATCATCAATAAACTTTGAAAATCATTTCAAATTCATCTATCCAATAAATTGTCATTTGTTTGTTTAACAAAATCCCATGGCATGCTTATATGGTACCTATAGTTTTGAAAAATTACATTTTAAGCTTAAAAACTTCACAAAATTTTCAATTAAATTTTATATTCCAACCATTCTACTTTCTTAGCAAAATTTTTTTCTTTATTTTTTTATTTTTAATTTTGTAATAAATTTATATGTTTTAATTTTGATTAACAACTAAAAAATTCATCATTGTCATTATTAGAATAAAATTATATCACTTCTTTTTTTATTTAGCTCAAAAAATTAATTTTATTTATATTATATTTTTCTTAAAATAACTTTTGTTTTTTTTTAAATTAAGAATTTGAGGATAATTTATGTTTACTTATATTACCCTTAAAAAGAAATAAAAGATGAAGAGAAATATTTTGTGATGGGATGATTAATTAAAGTAAATAGATAATAATAAGGTTAAGGTAAAAAAAAAAAATTCGTTAACCTGAAAAAATAAAAAAAAAATAATTTGAGATAATTTAAAATTATAGAGCGATAATTATTTTGGAATAAATTGAGTAAAGTTAAAATGTATTCTTTACATCCCATAATAATAAGTATTTTTTATTTAGAATTTATCTTAAAATAATAGTGATTTTTTTTATACTTTAAATAAAATTTTTATTTCTACTTTAATTTTATGATTATATCTTAATTTTAATAATTTTTCTTAGTATAAAAGAGTAAT